GGGTAAAAGTGCAGAGACATTGTCAAGAAAACACCAAGGGATGGCTGCACAGAAAAGCCTCAAAGTGGAAGTTGTGACTCTGGGATAGTGAGACTCAGAGGTAAGTGTTCAGGCTTGGTGCTACAAAGGGCAGTATAGTGCTTACTTTGATTGAATCAATTGCTCTGTGTAAGTAGCTGCTGGTGCTGGCTTCCCCTGGGTGACAGAGAGGTCTACAGAGAGCGAACCAATCCAACCATCCATGGCAAGAGAACAGGGAAGATTAACAGAGCAATGCATCATAGCTGTAGCAACCAGTGATGTGTAGCAGACTGTATTTATTGACTCATTGGCTGTATTGATTGTCTCAATTGATGAAAAGTCCAGAGACAACAGACAGACGCACAGCAGATTATGCAAAATCAGAAAATAATAAAGGAAAGATGATGGGTCATGTTGTTATTTCATTGTATGAGTAAATTAACATTTCACAGCAAAAGCCTGTAATATCTGGTACAAGCATTCAATCAGTTAGCGCTGCTGATCATGTGATTAAGTGTTTGCTAGTAAAACGTCTAGTTACAGCACATTTGACTGGCATGAGTTATTCCATTCAAGTTAAGCACATACAGTAATGGCTTGGTAATTTACCTGGGCATGTATGTAGCTTTTCCTTGACAGCAAATTCTCTTTGACATTGACATTGTTCCAACAGCAGCAGCAGTTTATTTAACACGCCATTAATCTCTAACGACAGAAGACTGCATAGCAGCAGATGTTTGGTAACAAACTTCTGCTCGGTCCTCTGTTTTTCTTCACCCTCATTGACATGTATTACTGTGACAAGAGGAGGGTCACAAGGCAAGCAGGACCACAAAAGTCAACTGTTATTTTTGGGAATGCTTTGGCAGCACCAATTTTTTCTTCTGCCTAGATGCAGACTCGTTTGATGCACAAAGAGAAAACAGATTCATTTGTAATGCTATACCAAAACTACTCATAGTGCACCACACTGGTGCGCATGGTCGTCAGTATGCTAATGTTCAACTGTGCAGTGAAACAATCCAATTATTGAATGATGGCCACTGTACATCTTCTCTCATATGTATGCAATTAATGAGTGCAGATCAACCATAACAGTGACACAGAGTAAATTAACACTTTGGTAAACTTAAAAGGATTGTCTCCACTCAGATATAGACAACTGAAAAGATGAGCACATGTCAAAGGATTATAGTTCTATGTCTATCATGTCCTCTTTTCTCCCTCTCTTATAAAGCAGCAGAACTCTTTTAAAAGAAATAATACAGAACGCTTCATGGCATTAGCCACTGAAATAGAATATCTTTTTGTACTGAATGCTGGTGAGTGGGCGTGAGGGCAACAAACTGCAGGAAAGTAAAGGGAGAAGAAACAGGCAGAGTTTACCCTTAGGGCTCATGAGGTAAGGACACTTAACTCATCGCATGCATTGCCATAGTCAACATGATTTTTTTTATATCAGTTCTATGCTTTAAACCCAAAAGGAATAAATCATCTCATTTACACAAATATAAATATATTTTATGTTTAGTATATACAATAATGATCTGCCATCATCAAGAAAAAGCATGTCAGTAAACTCTTGCTAATGGGTACAGACACTGCAAAGACAGCCATGATTGATTGGCGTGCTCAAGCACTCTCTGAAGATGAAGCCGGACAAGATTAGTTTTAGTGAGAAGGCTGGTGGTGTGGCTGAGCCGTGCCATGCTAGTCCTGAGAGCTACGAGTTTCACTGTCCTCCTCCAGCTCCCATTCAAAGTTCTGACCAGTCATTTGGTAGAACATCATGTTAAAGGGCTTGTAGAACTTGTGCAGCCGCCGAATCACATCTGGGTCAATTTTAGGGTGAGTTCTCCCTTTAGACTTGCCAAGGCATCTGGGAGTGCTGCTGTCCTCTGGCTTCTTTAGACATGGAAATCCTTTCGTTTTATTAAAGTAAAAGTGTTTGTCTGTGACAATCCGCTTCAGTCCCAAGAAGTCCTGCACTTTGGCCATCTCACCAGCAGGATCCACAATGAGCCTCTCTCCACTGACAAAGTGCATTTGGGAGAGTGGGAAATACTGCATCCAGCTCTCCAGGTGAAGCGCATATATTCCTATACGCAACGCACTCCACGAGGCATCTATAAGACCCAGCGTCCGGTTCTTAAAAGCCAGAACCTCAAAGGTGGGGATATCGGGTTTCTTGGACAAAGTCTGTGTATAGTCTGAAATGGCTCTAGTGACAGGATTACGCACGACAATAATAAGCTTGATGTCTCTTGCCATGGAGTGGATGCGCTTGGGGGCATGGTTAGTCACAAAGTAGCTTGGTGTCTTTTCCATGGTGATCTGCCCCTCCAGCGTTGAAGGCATCAGGTCTCTGGGAACAGAAACAGCAGAGGGGGAAAAAAACAGCTTAGCATGGTATTACCCTCAACACCTCTTCCAGTGCAAATAACATACCCAAGGACAAGGTGCAAGCAAATCTGGTACATTTACTAAGCAGTGCATTATTCGAAATTACAAGAGAAAATAACCGTTATTATCACTGGACATTATGTTGTGAGGAGAAACATACAGCTAATTACATCCATAGAGTAATATGCAAGAGATAAAAGAAGGAAGATGAAACAGCAGGAAAGCAAGTATGCTCATTGCTTAATTGACTCCATCTGTGTTACTCCAGGAGCTGTTTTGGAACTTTAATAATGAGTTCACTGCATATCATTAATACTGGGGTGCCTGGGGTATTGTTTTGTCATACATTTATTATGCATGCTAGGCTCACACTCTGTGCAGGCAGTTTTATTTCTAATGCACATGCACTTCCCCAGCAGGAGAAGATTGGAATGGGTGCAGGCAGCTCTTTTCTTTTGCTCTTTCTGCTGCATTTAAGGTTAGGGGCCAATCATTTAAAGCAGCAGTGATTAATTATCAGATTCAAGGAGATAATTTGCAGTACAGTTGAAATGTCCCAGACTTGATGAATTAATCCAGGGAGTCGCAGGAAGCCATGTGCCATTGCCACCAATATTATGAGTTTCATCTCTGAGTTGTAGGATAGGCCACTGCAGAGGCAAGTATGTCAAGTGCACAGAGGCAACTCTTGTTTTTGCAGCTTTTATTTTTGTATCAGTAATAAAGCATAGCAATCGCCTCAAGCAAACCCTTATCAAATGTTTACACTGATGTTCATTCCAATCCGTACTGTTTTCTTTGTTTGTAGGCTATGTGATTCAGTGCTAAATTGGTACATTAAATCCTCTGTGAGACATGCAGATTATTTAACTACTAATGAATACAAGCACAGGAGATGTGTAATACACTGTAAAAAAGAAGCAGAATCCAAGCACGTAGAAAGCTGCTTCCTTCCAAATTCACCAATGTTTGCTTGGAAATGAATGTCCGAACAACCGACCAAAATCGAAATTATTTCTTCTGGAGACTCACTGATTTAGTGGAGAAATTTCCCCATAATTCTGGGATAAAAGCTATTTCCTTCTCCCTGCAATATTCTTTTTCCATTTGGCTGCCCTGCACCACAAACCTACAGTTGTAACGATATAGTCACATCAATCATTTGCATCTTGGACATATTCTAAATTAACTGTTCTCCAGCAAAGAATCCAATTTACTCTGCTAGACATAAGAGCTGTTATGCACATATCGACCACACACATGTACCCACGGATACTCGGCTGAAAGTCTCACAAGTGGCCTGGTAATTGCATCTCAGTAACAGTATTGCCTTCCTGATGGGTAATTTCCCTCCGGATTATGTTTGTCTCTTGACAGTATAGAACTGTGGTTACTTCTGGGCCTGTAATGGGATATTAAACATATCTACAGATAGCATAGTGACCAGAAAGAGTATTAGTTTTCATTATATTCAATCACTTTCCACACTTCCCCCTTCCAGTAATAAATGGCTAAAGATTGTTTTAACCTTTCAAGGACTTCAGGTCTGTCTGCCATTAAACTCCGAAGTCCAGTAGGTGGTCTAATAGAGCAACATCGCCATGCAGAAAAAAAAAGTTCAGATACACACCACAGCGAATCACCTTGAAACAACCGATGTCCTACTGTATGGACATTAGCTGCAGCGTCTCCCTGGCAATCTTTGGAGCATATCCAATTGAAAGGACAGTTATACAGTGTTCAAGGTTACTTTTTTTGAAAACACAAACATAGCAGGCTATTATTGTAATCACGCTCATTGCTTGTCATCATACATTTAATTAAAAAAGCGAGCGAAAGCACATAAGCCCGGTAGCTTGTTATTGTGCTTTTGATTGAGAATCAGTCATGGACCATGTACGTCTAAAATGTCAGTTGGATGTTGAGGCGGGAAGGAAATCAAAACACTGATAAGCAAGCTAATTTTACTGTGCATTGCAAATGACTCCTCTGGCCTTGCAATCTAGTGGAACTGAAGTAAACACGAGCAAACAGTTAATTCTTACTTTTTTTTCTCTCCACATCAGCTGCTCAGCTCAATGCAGGTCATTCAGGTGGGTAGCTAAATAAAATCCATAGCGCTAAAGTGGCGCTGCTCACCATCTGTTGTTTACTGCCTCACACGAGAACATACCACATAACATTTATTTCTTGCATTTCAACACGTGCCTAACACTTTATTTACATAGCAAACAGAAGTTTGAAGATAGAGGAAAGGTCTCTCATACCATTTGATGAATTCTAACTGTGTTGCATTACAAGTATCTAAGGAAATAATATAAAATTACTCAGAAAATCATTGTCAAGATATGATCCTTTGACAATTTATGGCATAAAAAATATTTCCATCAAATATTAACAATACATTTTGCAATCAGATACTTTGAGTGGAAGAAAGAAGTCATCCACAGTGAAATAAATTATGAAAAGAGAAAATCAACCTTTAAAACAAGTTCACTTTCCAGTTGCACCAAGGTTACGTACTCGTAGGAAGGGAATTCCATTTTACACCCACTCCTCATAATTTTCAGATCTGGAGGATGCCATTTGAGAAAGTTGATTCATTAGTAAGAATGTGAAGTACAACAAATCAAATTTGTTGTGTGTGTGTTTGTTAAGACAAAATCTTAGTAGATAATCACAAGTCTTAGTTCCTAAACACCCACTACAACATACGTGAGCATTTAACTCGATGTTTCATTCTGTTTTGTCAAACTGTTGTGCGGGGAATATTTTGAGGTATGATGAGGTGAGGCATGATGCTCATTTACATTCCCAGATACTAATAGGTCCAAGCTGTTTATGGAGAAATGCAGTTTCTCCAGAGAAGCTTTGCTGTTTCTAATAAACTCTGGCAGAAGAATCAACGCTCCCACAGTCTCTCATTTGGATTGATCACATCTCAGCTGCAGAGTATCAATCTGCCGTGCTTCCTCCACGTCATGTCAAATACAATCAATTATTCTAAAGGAGTCCACTCATAACAAGCTGACTCCTTGGAGAGTGTACTTTGGAGAAGGGGCCAATGTTGTGGGCAGATTTGTGTGATTTTTCTTTTTTTCAATAACGCCTAAAAACTAACATAATGATATTGAGGTGTAAATTACAGGAATTCTTTGCTGTCTGCCAATATTGACTCAGTAAGAGAGAATAATCGTTTTGTCGGGGAGGTGTCAGAATCTTGTCATCTTGCCATTTATGAAGGAACATACTTGTTAGTCCTATAATAGAGAAAGCAGAAGTTGTACTCGGATTTACTAAAAATGGCTTTGATAAACCTTTATAAGTTAACCAGTGCTTAGTACAGGCAGCCCCCCCCCCCCCCCCCCCCCCCACCCCCCACCCCAACAAAAAAAACAAACCAGTACAAGAACAGGCAAATGTATTACACTTACAATTGGAATTACAAATATCAGTCGAGGGTGTAAAAGCGTTTTTCATCAAAATCAGTCAAGACATTTGCAGTGAGAGATATACTGTGGTCATTTTACAATGAATAATCCAATTATTTTACCATGAGTGACATGTTTGTGATTACAGCGGCACAAAGAACAAAGACATGGGTTTACTGCAAAGTGGAGAGAAAACAAAGGTTGGTCAAATGAGTCATTCTTTGCTTGGCTCTCAACAAGTGGATGCATACATGTTTGGCACACAAAAAAAACAAGCCCACAGGCCAGAGCAAAGGGGTCCTGGTGGGTCTGCTGTGGAGTGGGAGGCATTGTTTTGTCACGGTTAAGGTGCAACTTTTGGGAAGAAAATAAATAGAGAGAAGGCTGCCATTCTGAGCCATCAGATCATGTTCAAGTAATGGGAGAGAGTTTGGCTTGTTTTTTGTTTTTCTCAACCTGAATCTGACCTAACCACATGGTTGTGTAGTGAAAGTATCCTTTCAGCAGCCTTGCCTTTAAGCTATTAACTGGATTTAGTTATGCAATGTACATAGAGCCACTTACAATTACAGTGAGAATATTACGTGATTTGTCATTTAGAGCATTGAAAAAGTGACATTAGGCTTTTCACATGTGTCACACCTATATACATATATTTAATGAATTCTTTTTTGTTCATGTTTTAAGTTTTACATTATAATAATTAAAGACACGTGTGCATACACAGACACAAACTTAATCCATTTATTGCTTTTAATGATTCCTTCTGAATCACTTAAACATTATGTCTTTCTTTCACTATCTTCAAATCCAAGGGGCTTTTCACACCAGAAAGATATCTATATGCATAATAGGCATAAAAGCCTTTTATTGAAATCCAGTAAAAGAGAAGATATGGTTGAATGTATTTAATATTAGCTCTGCATGCTACTTTTTTGTGCAGTAGAGTCTCAGATGCAGAGCTTTTACTATTACATTGGGCAATATGGAAATGGTAAATTTTTACTTTTAGAATTTTCCTGACTCGTTTGACGTTAAACACTTATTTTCTTTCACTGACTTCCAGTTTATTTCATTTTTTCTTTTTTTTTTCTTGTTTACATTTACCGCCTGTTGTTATTAAAAACACAGATCTAGAAGTAGTTTCATGAGAAAGATGAAACCAAACCAAACTGTATTTCAAAATGCAGTCAGGTGCTTGGTAATCAGCAACGATAAATGCATTTTTATAAAAAAATAAATCTATACTACAACATCGTTTATTATTGTTTATTCTACAATATCCCCTTTTACACCCTTAAACTGGTTTTTGTCAGTTAATCAACTAAAATACTAGCTATTACCAGCTATTTGAAAAAGCTTTAAGACTACCATGAGCATTGTTGAATATTATTTTTATCTATTTATTTTTCTTTTCACTGAGAGTTCCCAGTTTGGCTGATGCACAAAGAAGCAGCGATGAAACCAGGCCCATACTGACTGAAGAGTGTTGCTAGGTTGTTTCAAAGCTGTTTAGACAATAGGATGAAAC